AAAAAAAAAAAAAAAAAGAAATATCAAAACAAAGGGACAAACATCAAATTCACAATGATATTTACCAGGGGAAAGAGAACGGGATGAAGGATGAGTTTCCAGGGAGCAAAGCTGGATTAGTATGCTTAAGTTTCTAAAGTTGCACAGTAGCACGTAGGTATTATATTATTCATAGCACATTTTAGTGTTTCTTCAACATCGATGGAAGAAGAAAGAAACTGGGCTGGAGAGATGGCTCAGTGAGTTAAAGCACTTGCCAACAAGACTGGCGACCTGGGTTCGATCCCCAGAACCACACACATGATGAGGGACGGAGAGAACTGATTTCCAAAAGTTGTTCTCTGACCTCCACACGCACACCAAGGCACATGAGCATGCACACTGTGGCATATGAACACAAAATGGGAACAGTTTATTTTAAGGTGTGGGTGCTAGAAATCCAGGTTCAGGACCCACTCAACATGTATGATATACACAGTTTGATAGAACCCTGTAGACAAATACAGTTATCAGCGTTCTTCGGTCTCAAAACACATACAAAACACTTGCAATGTTCTTTCAGGTTATCCCTTGCAACATCCCTCCAGAACAACACATGTTCTACGATTTGGGAAGCTCAGTCTGATGCATCATTTCCATTCCAGAACGTGCAACACATGATTATCTTTAATAGAATCCAGCCCTGTCAAAATCATAAAGGCTTTGAAAAAAATCATAAAGGCTTTGCAAATATAATGGGCTTTTGTGTCGTAATAAACATGAAATTCTTTTTTTTTTTCCCCCGAAACAGGGTTTCTCTGTGTAGCCCTAGCTGTCCTGGAACTCACTCTGTAGACCAGGCTGGTCTTGAACTCACAGAGATCTGCCTACCTCTGCCTCCTGCCTGAACACATGCTGGGATTAAAGGTGTGCACCACCACCAGCCAGTGAGCATGAAAATTCTATTAACACATCCTAGAGATGCATCAAAGGAGAAAAGAGAGTTTGCAGTCTCTTGCCCGTTAGAAAGAACAGTCTAATGATCAATCTAGTCATGAACTCTTGACCTTGTGTGATGATTCAAGAGAAACCAAGCTTCCTCTCTGGGCCATGGGCTCAGTCCTTGAATGAGGTCACAATTCTCTAATCTCTAATCCTGGTGACTATTAGCTCTAAGAAACTGATGTTCAGTGCATCCAGGCGCACACAAGTCACCAGGCCCTGGAGCAAGCACAGTGTTAAGGAGCCAGGTATCTAGCTGTGCCTGGTAGAATGGGTAAGATGGAGAGGTGGGGAGGGAAAGAGCTGGAGAACCTGGCCGGCACAAGAGACCTGAAACAGGGGAAGCTAGAATCACCCACAGACCCTTGCAGACCCGTCTGGCCCAAGAGAAGGTAGCCAGGAGGTGAAGCCAGAGGTGAAGAGGGAGGTTTGATCCTGAAGCCCTGGCACTGGCTCTGGCCTGACTCACCAAATGTAGAGGCAGATGGCCACTAGAAAGATTTTCTTCAGAGTCCCAACCCAGACGCTTTGGATATGAAGGACTTTCACCGATGTGTAGCTACAGAGCTGGTCCGCAGACAGCATGATGAGAAAGAAGGTCCTCTCTCTCAGCTCCCCGGGCAGGAAGTGCCTCTCAGCAAAGTCGGCCTGCCTCTTAGAAGGAACCCTGAGCTCTGAGCAAAGGTAACTCTAAGTGAAAGACAAACCCAGAGAGAGGCCTGCCTTCACGTTGGTTTACTCCACAGCTAGCCCCAGGACCTGGCTCCCGCCTTTGCGGCCTCTACCCCCTCTCATGTTGCCAGGAGCATTTGACACTTCTCTGAGCAAAGACACTCCTCCTGAGGTGAACCGCCAGGTCAAAGGGCATGCACATTTATGTCTCAATTCCTTGGGTCAAAATACAGAAGGCGGCGTTGTCTCGTGCAAAGCAAAAGCATGCACCCGGCCTTTCACAAAGGTCTTGACAGATAAGGGCATGGTCGCATGGGGGTGGCCGAGGCGGTGAAGGGTCTGGGTGGTACCCTGGGCATCGGTATGGCGATGAGGATAGATGTAGCAGCAGCGAGAAGCCCTCTGAAGGAGAAGGGCACAGAACGGAGCTGTAGCGTGATTACAGAAAGAAGGGGGCCCCGGCAAGCTTGCCCTGGGGTAGCTAGCTGGTGCCAGTGAAGGTGACAATGACCGGGGTGGTTTGTCATTTACGCCACCCCTTTCCCTCTTTCCCCCCATCTCTTTCCCATCTGCACTTAAGTATGATTCCTCATCTTAAAAAATACAGGCTTCCTCCTCCCCACATTCTTCCACCACGTGCAGGGCCTGGCTCCTCCCGTGCAGGCCAGTCTTTTGAAAGAGTGAGTCACCACATCCATTTCCGCATCTCCATTCACTCCTCCACCCACTCCAGTCTGGCTCCCACCCCCACCGATTCTCCGGTGCCTCCTTTGCCAGCTCACTCCCTTCCCGGTCCGACAGACATGCTACAGATGCCATGATCGGCTCTGGTGGCCATGGACCGCTTCCTTCTCCTCTTCCCTCAGCCTCGAGGAGACTACATTCTCCTGACCTCCTTGGCTCTCTCTGGCCTCGCCATCTCTGAATCCCTTGGGAACTTCTGCATCTCCTTGCCCCTTGGATGTCAGCACCACACAGGGCTCTGGTCCAAGCTTCTTGCTTTCGTTTTCTTGCTGGTCAGTTGAAGATGTCCACGGCTCCGATTACCATCTATAGGCTGGTGATATATAATCTATCTTAAAGCTCTGAAAGCAAATATCTACACAATCAAAATGCACAGCTAGGAGCCTCATATACCATTCAAACTCAAAGCCTTAAGCTCAGAACTTAGCCTTTGACCCCAATTGCTTTTCCTCCTGAACATACTAACTCCAGGAAGGTATTCCACCAACTTCTTATCAGCTGCCCAAGTCAGAAATGCAACACATTCTTGACCCATTCTCTCCGTAAGGGTCATACATTGCTCATTTATGGAAGCTGCTCTGTTGTGCCACAGCAGAGGCTTCTGGGTAGACTGGTGTATACCCAAGGCTTCTGGTGTCCACTCCAGCCAAGCCTCCCCGGATGATAACACAGCACTGGACCATGAGTCGACCCATCAGGCTGGTGTTACAGTGTCTCAGAGGGGAGGCCCAGGGTATGCCTCATCCATCCTCCTCCTCACAGATCCTTTCAACTGCAAATCCTATCGTTTGAGCTGGGCAAGCATGCCACTTGGGTGGTAGCGGCAGGAGGTCAGCTGAATTCGAAGTTACTTGAAACCCTGTCTCTGATACGGCTGATGTTGCTCAACTCCACCTGTCCCCTGTCGCCTCCTCAGTTCAGATCACCCTCAGTTCACAGTTGCATGATCCAATACCGTTTGACCTCCCGCCAGGCCTGGTCCTGACGCCTCCACTCTCTAATCTGAGCATGAAGTCTGGATAAGATGTTTAAAGTTCAGTCTCAGCTCTGCCCCTGACCATCTCTGTGACTTTGGTCACCAAAGAGATTTGTAAAGGTTGTTGGACAATTCCAAACCAACAGTCCTTCTCAGTGGGAACCAGGCACCAGGGCCTCAGCTGCCTCTGCCCCCCTAAAAGAGCTGGATCCTATCAGTAATCCTTCCTGTTGCATGTCGCCAAGGATTTGCCGATCCTGATCTCTAGCAATGGTACCTTATCGGGGAAGAGTCGAGACACATGAATGAGGACTTTGAGATGGGGGATTACTTTGGTTACTTGGGCGAGTTCCAAATGCCCACGTGTCCCCGTCAAAGAGGCAGAGGGCAGCCTAAC